GATGATGTTAGGGTCCGAATAATGTTAATATGAATTATTTGGAGATTTCAACATTAATTTAAAGTAGAGATTTCACGGTTTAGTATTAAGAATCCGCTTTTTTTACTTTTTAATCAAATTGTTTTTGTTATAATAAAAACTGTTTAAAATTAATAGAAATGTTCATTTCAAGTACTTACCTTAAAAATTGGGTGTCACTAATTTGAAAAAAGTGTTCGCCAGTTCAATGCCGAAGAAACAAGCTGCGTTCGCTGGAAAAGCGCGCAACATAACTGGTATTACGCCGCGGTAGAGCGCAAATGGACCGTCGGTGCGCATTAGTTCGACAAAGACACTTCGTATGCCATTTCTATATTTATCTGGTGGCGCTGTATAGGAAAAATTTAGAGAAGTATGAATTGAATGTTTTGACAGAGCAAAAACAAAGAATACATACAGAGATATTTAAGTAGTATAAATCGTGATCTTCAACAACTTTCCTGTTTAATTAACCAATAAGAAATAAAATATCCAAGGCTTGCCGAAAATCAATTGATTTCGAACCTAACACGAGTACTTAGAAACTGTTCCGCAGTACTCATTTTTGCTTTAGAATTAACTTCACTCAAACAACTTCTGTCCGTAGAGCTCCCTTGAATGACCGATTGTTTGGTCTACGATGACGAACCCTAGATTTATGGTATCTCTAACCAAGCAAGATCACCTTAGACACATTCCGTTCCCGCGACAGCTGGGTCTACGTAACCGAAATGGACCCGTATTGTTAACTCGACAGAATTCTGCCGCAACAACGTTAAACACATTCTCTCAAACTGAGTATATATAGATATATCTAAAACTCAGAAGGCAACTAAAAAATACCAGAGATGTAGAACAACTCGAGTTGCCTTACGAATCTAGAATGCTCCTCGCACAATTCCGTTCTGGATACTGTAGCAGTTTAAGCTTCCATTTATTCAGAATCGACTACGACATACCAAACCTATGTCCACCGATCAATAAGACCCCGCATGACACAAGCTTTACATGTTACATGAGATCGACTAAGCTAACACCATCCCTATGGTGTGAACCCAGCTTTTCGATTCCAGACGGTAAACTTCGATGTCAATTAATTTAAACTTACATCTTGCTACCCAGACAGGGCCCGGAAAACTGCAGTAATAACCACAACAAAATCAACTGAGTTCGTATATCGCACACGCAGCGATTATCAGAAGTTCGTATTTGGTTGCTGTAAGGGCATAAAATATTCTTAATACTTTTAAGGAATGCTAAAGAGTTAAAAGTTCTAAGCGACAATCCCTTACATCCGTTCCCAACATAGTGGAATCTAAGTAATCGGCACGGACCCGTATATTTATCCGACTAAGATGATATTCTGCTAGATGCAAAGATTTGTGAAATAGTTTTCTAGAAAACTGCTGAGGTGACAGATCTTCGTAACGTAACCGTAAGCTGACTATATTGGCAGCAACAGACTCTGAATCTTATTTTTCATATATGTATGTATGTATACCATATAGAATATTGAAATAAAAAATAAATATATTTCAGCGCACCTGTCTGCAGACGACTCTTGAGTACATCGGGCGGCATACCGACAACCCAGTAGGCAATACCAGACATACCACCCGAAAAGATCGCCGATAATACCTCCATTTGCATATTTGGAAATTTTTGCTTGATCATATCTTGAAATGCTTCATATGTGGCAAAATATACGGCATTTGATGGCAGATCTGGAAGAGAACAATACATATTTCTTGTAGTTTTAAATATATGAATATTAAAAACAGTCTAAAAACAAGTCTAAATTTTCAAAAATTAATACACGAAAACGTTTCTTCCAATACTTGTGTATATTTTCATATTCTTCTATGCATTATAAAAGCCTATACTATATATTTCTAAAACAACAATTTGGAAACAATAATCTTTAAGAAAATATAATTTCTTGTTAATAAAAACTATTGCAACTTTTTTCAAATATACATAAGTGCACTATTTAAATTTAGTGTTATTAAAACGGCTTTAGTCTTATAGGCAAATTTTTGAGTTAGAACAATGCGGCGATGGCATCGAAAGTATCATTGGCCAATTCAATGCCAAAGAAGCAGGCAGCATTTGCGGGGAAGGCACGCAACATGATCGGTGTAACGCCACGGTATAGAGCCAAGGGACCATCGCGACGCATGAGATCCTTGAAAACGCTGCGTACACCTTTTGGATATGTGCCGGCGGGTGCTGCGGATGGAAAATGAAAATTTTTGAGGTTATGCAAATGTGGAAATATAAAACAACTTTTTCAAAGAATAGATACGTGCTATTAAAATAATAAATAATAGTATATTTTTCATAGTTACTTAATTGTATTCAATTAAATAAAAAATTAATTAAAGTAATTGAATATGAAATCAGTTAAAATTCGATCCCTAAAAAGTATTTAATTAATTTTCAAAACTGAAACAATGATATTAAATATAAATAAAATAATAAAGAAGTATAAAACAGTTCATTACTTTGTACTTAATTACATGTTTTTATTCAAACAAATTATAGGAAACTTTTATTGAAGTATTTACTCTAATTGCATGTAAATCCTGTTAAAGTAATTAACAAATTAAAATACCAAAATTAAATACTTAATTATCTAAAAGTGACTTTTAAATCAATTAAACAATACATTATAAAAATTAATTATTTTAAAATTTCTTTAA